AACAGTTTATGTGAATGTCAAATCAGTGTTGATGGCATATGTGGTCAATACATTCCTCAGTGCGTGCTATATTGACCGAGAAAGTTGAGTTCTCCTGCTTGCAGAGCCGTGCCGGCAGTGATTATACATGTGATTTACCAGGATGCATTGTGTGCAAGCTTCTGACGCTCACTGAGGATACTAAATTAGCTGCTGGGTGCTAATTGGATTTGTCAACCAAATGAAATTTGACCATTTATTTTTCCCACAAAGCTATATCGTTGTACCTTCAAGCTCCAAGGTGAGTTAGCCTGTAGTTCTTCCTTGAGTCAAATGACAGTGCTGGGGTCAAGATCAAGGTCATATAGCATAGCATATAGCATCCTCATTTAGTTTATTATTGGGGCAAAACATTCAAAAGTGTGGGCTCACTTTGCTAAATTTAGTGAAAATGACACTAAATGCAATACTTTGGGAAGCAATTTAACTTATTTTTGCAAGAAATAAATGATAAAATAACTTTGAAATCTTTTAATGTCATATCTTTATATTTTGCACCAGATTATGTAGAGTAGTATCAACAATAATATCCATGAGAAGCATCAATAGGCTGTCAGTATCAATAAAATCCTAATGCATCCATGCCTATTGACACATCCAAATAAATCACAAGACTTTTAAATCAGTTTTTAATCTTGTCTCCCAGTTGTATGGTAGACATGTTTCCTGGTGGTAAATGTATATTTGTGTCCTCTGTCCTCTTTCACACTGTAGGATGATTTGGAGAAAGACAGCTCCAACAGAAAAACACATATAGATATACAGTATTTCATCATACACATCCTCTACATTTTATGTGATTCACGTTTCACTGGATCTGGAGGCCACAGAATAGCAAACATAGCACGGGAGCCACTGGCTCATCACATACATCATCACTTCCAATCACGTGGACTTAAAGACGGGCGCCTTTCTGCCAAAATAAACATCTAGTTTCATCAGGGTTGTAACTGTAGCTCTGCTCAGCTGCAGGGCTCTCAGCAGTCACTCAGTGAGATGATTTTGTGCGGCTGGTGAGAATATGAGGGGTGTGGATCTAAAATGGAAGACATCCTGATTATGGCAGTGGCAGATAAAGTGTTGACAAGTGTTACTCAGCTTCGATTAATAAGTCATGCTCTCTTTGGGCTTAAGAGAGGAGGGGTATGAATAACTAACCATTCCAATACTTTTACACTTTAACAGCAGCTTTTAATGTACAGCAGTAATGTTATATAACCTCTCAGTCACAGACCATGTCTAATAATTTTTCTGTTAAATGAAATTCAGACAATTTAATAAAGCCCACTGTAAGCCTAAACATTCATCTCAGCTCTTTCCAATTATCCCTGAGTCAGCTGTGTTAAAACAAGCTTAACCGAAAATGTGGATCTTCAACAGATAAGCACGTGATTTTTATCTGCTTTCTAACCTAATTGAGTTGTTAGGGTCTGAATGTCATTGCGTTGAATGAGGGTGGGGAGCTGGATGCGGGTCAAATGTTCACCAGTGGGTTTGTTATTTTAACATCCTGACATTATAGTAATGAGCCAGTAAAGGTTGGTATGTGTGATGTGCACAACTGATGATGGAGACAGCGTAGATTTCCTGCCAGGGCTGCTCTGCCCCCTTGTGATAGAAAACTCAATACTTGAGTCAAATATCTGTGCAAGAAACTTTAATTGATAGGACTTTTTTACGTTTTACTTTAGAAATAAAAGTGTTGTTTTGCCCTCAGCCTTCCATTTTCTTCACATCTCAAAATCTCAGTTGAGAATAAAAAAAGAACAGGTTTACATTTCATTGCTCCCCTTCACGGTGTAGGAATAAAGATTAGACATGTGGAGGCGCTGTGGAACAAGGAACAACTGAATGAATCTGCAAGAGTGTACCTCTCCCTACTGAACTGTTAAATGGATGAATAATGAGAGACATTAGTGAAATGGGAGATTGTGGCTATGACAGTATGTGTATGTGATGAGCTGGATCCAGACTCATTTTGGTGTGTAGTGGATGAGGAGGCATATATCAGGATATGATTCAGTCAAGTGTTCCTGCTGACACAAGTGGCTCCTACATCACTGTAAATTCCTAACTATGTGATGTCACAAATCATGGTCGTAGGAATCACCCCCATAGTGTCAAACTCTACACATTCATCACTCTTCACAGTGACAGTGAGGATCAAACATCAAACTGTTTGAGTGGTGGGAGACTGTAATTCATGTGAACGTTTATATCATGAAATACAAATTTTGGTTAGCACTTTTCCGTTTTTCGTTTTTAAATTCACTTTGAAAAAAAAATGTATTATTGACTTACTACTTCATGTATTGGATTTGATAGATAAACTATCATCATAAAAACAGATTTTAAAAAGATTAAGTAAAAGAGGAAATACAAAAAATGACAAAAAACATCAAGACAGACAGTCAAAAGCTCACAGCTGCATCGTCTAAATGATGCTGTTTCTCACTAATGTATTAATGTTTGTATTTTTTATTTATCACAGACTTAATAATAAAAGTTAAGATATTTCATTTTACATGATGCCAAAAAAAAATATAAAACAAACTGGGACAGAAACATACATTCATTGATACATTTGGACAATATTTTGACTGCCTTCCTGAGTCAACAGTCAATCAACATTACTTTATGATTCATTTTTCCTCCAAACATTGATCTTATTGGAATATGTCTTTTTAATTCCCAAGTAGGATTGACTCATTTTTACCAAGTTCTAAATAAATATAACCTGTTCACATGTTACCAGTGACTCACTGTCACTAGCTACAAGCTCAAGGTTTACTCATCCAACACTCATCTTTTCAGGAAACATGTAAAGCTGATCAATCCTACCATAATATACTACAATGTATTTCAGCTTAAATGTCACTGACAACAAATATGAAAACAAGCAACCAAGATCTCAGTCAGGCTAAATATAATTTCTCTCTGATAATAATAAGTTCAAAAGTCTTATTTAAACCTTCTGTACACATTTTATCTGGACATCTTGACATCTAGTTTCTTTTTTAGATATGACATCAGTGTACAAGTATAGCAAAAATGACTTTTTGTATTGATTTATTGTATTTGTGTTATATAACAATACTGCTTCATGGATATTACTCTATATGGTGTCAAATAATAGATTATAGAGTGCGCTCATTTTGTATTCTAGTTTTACTTCCCCTTATCTGTACTATCCACTTCATTTGTATTTCATGCACTTCTTCAATTTTCTTGTGTGGGAAGAATAACGTTGATCTTATCTTAATTGAATATATTTTAACATTGGTGGAAGAATCTCGTTAAGACTGAGCTGTCTTGTGTGGGCTAATATTTATGTCAGATGTTACACAATTTGGGAAATAACATAATGTGAGTTTGAAAGGTCATTCATGAGCCACACTGAGGTCCATTTAGTACGTGAACGAATATATTTTACAATGTAGGTTGAATATGATCTAATGATGTTGTTTTTTGTGTTTGTTGTGTAAAATGACAACATTCTTGACACACTCTTCAGTAGGTAAATAGTCTGTAGTCTGTAAATAAACGATGTTTATTAAACACTGCTAAATGACTCATTGAATTCATGAATGGAAGAATATGTTGACTCAAAGAGAGGCGGGTTGGCCTTTATGAGTTCACAAACAATCACTTGTATTTAAAAACACAGAACAAAAAAGCAAACTTCCAGTTGTCATCAGTGAGGGGCGGTAAAGTCCCCCGGAGTCGGTCCCTGTTCCTCTGGCGTTGTCCTGTACTAGTCCCGGCATTGGTGACGTCACCAACGGGACCGGCGATCAAGCTGAGCGAGGACAGACGGATCACACCGGAAACTGAGTGATGTTCCTCCAAAATTACAGTTTATTTTCTCTCCAATAACTGTTGAATAGAACAAAGTACCAGGGAGAGTAAACAGCACAGTACAGAGAAAATACACAGATAATAATATCAATTAAGTAATAAAAGAGAAAGTTAAGTGATACATAAATGATAATAAATGAATACAAAATAATAATAGAGGGTAAGTAAATACATTGAGCAACATTATTGGCAGTAATTACAGCTTTAGTGCACAATTTAATGGTCTTTAAATACTGTTAACATTCTTCATGCAAAACAAAAAAAGCCATTTGTTGGTGAATTTATATTTATGAAACTTAAGATAATCATAAGACTGATGATTTATGCTTGTTTCTGTATATATATGATACATGAATACTTGATGCTTAAATACTTGAATGCATCTGTAATAATAATCCAATAATATCATTTATAATGATACAACTCTAAAAGTAGTTGTGGTATGGATTTGTTTTGATTTACTTTTTCCTTTGCAAAACACTTTGTGACATTGTTTTCAAAGGTGTTAAGTAAGTAAAGTTTAATATTATTATTACTATCATTCTGCCTGCATAATTAGTGCCTTTTTATAGTTAAGGATTTTAAAATAAAAAAAGGATTTTAATTAGTAAGTTTTCACATAAGAGAAATTTGCCTCGGTACATTGTTGCATAAGAATCACAATCAAGTGTAGACAAATATAAATAGGATTTAAAAAATAGAGAAAATAATAAAAGGAGCCACTATATACAAATATAAAGAGTGAGAGAATATGTACAAAATGTCCCGATACTTAAATAAATAAGTAAAGAGCTGTAAAGAAATGTGCATAATAGTGGGACATATAATGAAGAAGTGCATTAATGTAATGCATATACACAGGGTGGGTTTAAGAGTCAGTTACATACCTTTATACAGGTCATTTACTTTACAGACATTAGCTATTCTGTGAATACTTCTTCCACCACTATGCCGACTTCTGGTGACACAGTGCTTTTTTTTTTTAAATATTACTGCTATGTCGAGCTGTTGAAGCAGTCAGTGTAAAAACACAACAGAAATCTTTTCCCCCAAATGCTCTTTTATTTTGAAATCTGAGAACGGAAGCCGGCTGTTCACCGGGACCGGGCTTGATGCGAGTGATCGATGTGGAGGCAGTCCGCCAGCCTGCGACAGAAAAACAAGCGAGGATAGGTCGAGCAGTACATGGTCAGCCCATGTTTTAAAAAAAGAAAGAATATTTGTGAAACCGGAGGATATAGGAGGATTTAATGGTGGTTTGTGTGGCTTTTACGCGCGGTTAGTCACTTGTAGTTTGGGTGCGGGGGGGTCTTTATTGTGGAGAGTGTCGCTGTTGCCCATTCTCACTGGAGTGAACACTAAGGTAAGCCTCCTGTAACCGCAGATGAACTGTGTAAGTTGGTGCACTTGGACGGGCTACTTTACCCGCTCAAGTGGAAAATGTCTCTTTTTGTTGAACGCGTTCACGAAAGGTTTCCTCTCAAACAGTCGTAAAAGTTGGTGTAAAAAAAACAAAAAAAACCGAAGCTCTCTCCTCTCACTTTGTGGATTTGTCGCTGGGTCTTTGTCCACTCAGATGTGCTTTAACTAGACCTGGTGCTAGGACCTCGGCGAGCCTTTGCGTTTGTTCTTGTTGCCATTAAATATCTCGCTGTGCGCGGCTCAGTGGTTCACTCTTCCAACTTAAAGCAGGTAGTTTAAATGTGCCCACTCACCCGGTTTCTGTAGCATTTACACGGGACCACTTCATAAAGGCCTGTAAGCGAACGAAAGGCTACCACAGCGATCCACAAGCAGGTCTGTTCCTCCCAAGACGTCTGTATTGTTTGACTTATTTTCTCCATTTCTCTCCTTTTTTATTTTCTTACTTTAATCCACACATTTGGTCATGTGTCCATTGTCCTTCCTAGAGTGGCGTGTAGAGTTTGTGTTAAAATCCGCAGTCGCTTACACAATGAACCACATTGCCAAAACACCACAGATTGGCGACTGGTGCCTCATGCCGAGCTTGTCAATGTTTCTAGTGGCTCTTCGTGGTAACTACAGCACACATCCTCCCCATCACTGCCAGGGTGATGGGGAGCTGGAGTAGTTGCACATGGAAGTGTCCGATAATTGGTTCAACAGGCGGGAAGAAAGGTGTTTTTTTTTTTTTTCGTGTGTGTGTTGTGCAATGACTCAGGTTGCTTTAAGGTGCAGGTACACTTTCATGGCACACCTTTTCTGCAAACACGCCTTCTGTTAAGGGAACCATGGTAACCAGAGTGTAGGACAAGGTTTGCACAGCAATGGCAGGTATGTGGAGGGCAGGTGCAACAAAACACTGCTGGGCCTGTAGTACAGAAACTAACTTTAATTACGTCATGAGTGAAGAACTCTCCTAAAATGTGTTTTAAAATGCTCGTTTCATTTTCAGCATTGTTGAAACCAGACTAAAGCTAGAAGGGTTTGTTTTACTAGGTGTGTCCTTGATGCGATTTGACTTTTGATGCAGTTTACAATTTAAAACTCCCCTTTTTCCCCCCAGCTTTGACGACTTTACAATTGTTGGACTCAAATCTTGTATAGGTCAACAGATCAACAGCGTTCTGCTCTGGAAACTGTCATTTACAATTCAAACATCTGCTGTAATACATAATTGATACTGAAAGGCTGCGTGTTGATGTCACAGAAGGGAAATAAAAAGGTGCCTGTCCATGCAGTGTCACTCATGCATCATATGGATAAATATCAGCAGCTCAAACCGTGAGATAACCGTAGCGATGGCAGACAGCGACGGTCCATCAAAGAACCGCGATACTTCTCTGATTCAAGTTAAGAAGTAGCGCTGCTGCTGCAGGTTACTGGGAACCTACACTACGTCCTCTTTGAAGCACAAGTCGGTGGAGAGAAACATTTTTGTGAGAATCGTCCATCCTGGTTTTGATTTCGTTAAACGAAATTTAAAGATCATCTAGAATCACAATCATGATTTACTGCTCACTGAATAAGAAGGTTTTTATTAGACAGCCCCTGATATCAGTTTTGGAAAGTAACAACATTACATTTACTTAATTACTGTACATTATTTGAGTATTTATACTCCACTACATTTTCTTGATAAACCCTGATTAGTAAATCTGAAACAATGCAAAAACAGTAATCTCGTTCCAGCTTCTCAGTTTGTATTTGGCGTTTTCCTTCGTCAGTATGACAGTAAACAGAATATATGCGAGTCTGACCAAATAAGCATTAAGACAACAGGCTATAACTGGGCTGGGAGTACTTGTGCTGGGTATTTTTGTGACATTTCATACACCAAACAATTGACCTATTAATCAGAAGGGCATCAGTAGATTAATCAATAATGAAAATTATGGCTAGCTGCAGCCCTTCCCTCTTCTGTATTTATTTTCCTTCACAATAAGGTTTGGCCTTATGTAAGGTATTTATCGAGAGGTCGATACTCGGCACAAGAAAAGAGGATGATTAAGAGTTGACAGTTAACAGTTAGTACAATAGTCCAAAAACACTGATACACCTATAGTTGTTGTATGTCTGTTAGGCTGCGTCTGCTCCTGGAAGCTTTTTAAAAATTGCCCTCAGTTAATTGATGATAAGTCGTTTAATTGTTATCTAAAAGTAAAAGTAAGGCATTTCCTGTAGAGCTGAAACAATTTATATTATTAGTCAACTCACAGAAGAAAATAATTAATTTATTTTCTCTCTTTAACAGCTTTGTGAATTGAACATTTTGTGGTTTCGGACTGTTAATTAAGACATTTTAAAACATCCCACCTTAGGCTTTAGAAATTTGTGATTTTTTTTTTACACTATTTTCTGACTTTTACTGAGAAAATAACTTAACAATGAATTAATAGTAAAATAATCTTAAATTTAACTTTCATTTAAGTTAATGTTGGTAAACAGCTTACAAAGGTGTCAGAGAATGAACTGAAGGCTTGTGGGTTGAACCTTCCCCCGCTCTCCAGATGAGTTGGTTCAGACTCAACCGTAGAGTCATTGAGATTTCCTCCCCCGGCCTCACAGAGATTAAAATTAACCTACAGGAAGTCGAAGTTAAACCACCCATAAACTGTTATGGTATTTTTTTTTATGACATAATGGAAAATAGTCAACAACACATTTAATGAAGTTGATGATAAATATATCGATATCATGCAATTTCTCTACAGTAAGTGTGTGTAAGTGATTTTAACAGCCTACATGTAATGATTAACAACATATCCAGGCTGATAGCAAAGAACAAACAGTGGTGTTAATACTTGACTTTCATTATTTACACCGTGCCGCGACATTTTCAGTGGTCCAGTTTGTTTAATGTATGAACTATTGACCGACGACCACACAGAAGCAGATTCCAGGTAAATAAAATGTTATGATATTTCCATATTCTTCAAGTTCACAGGGGCAGGGTGGTGATGTTGGTGCTGCCTCATGTGCACAGACAGATAGACAATGTGGTATTGCAGGCTTGGGCTTGGGTGTTGCTTGTTGGTAGATGACAGAGTTAAGCTTTAAAACTGAACGTGACATTATTCAACATTCATCATTTTAAACACATTCCTGTTTGTTTCCCCTTATGTTGCCCTATTTCCATTCATGGTGTTTGTTTGCTTCGGTTTTGGTTTTGACTGACACTGCTTGAATAACAAGCTGCGTTGTGTCTCTTTTATTGGTTGGCTCCTTAAGTCAAACACTTGACACACAAATCCGTTATTTGAGCCACATCTTTACAGATGAGATAATAAACCCAATCCTCTTCCGCCTCTGTATTTGATTGCACATTTATGAGCTGAGACTAATTACTCTGCTCATCTTCACATGCTGTAAGTGATTAAATGTCACACAATGTTTTGTTCATCTATTGTTTTGAGTAGGAGGTGGTGGAAAAATACTACGTTATTAACAAGAAACGTACGCTTTTTTTAGTACTATCTTGCAATGTGAACTTCTCTTTTTACTAGAATGTGAATGGGCTTATTAGTTTATGTAGAAGATACTATGAAAGTACTAAGAGATATTTGGACTGCACATAATGCAGTAGAATAATTATAAATTCAATAGAATGTTATAATTTAGGTATGAAAAATTCATACTTTAATAATTTAATTGGTAGTTAAATAATTTAAGTTGGTAATTTCAAGACCAGGAAATGTCTTATTTGAATGAGCAAAGGAAAGGGTTTACAGGTGATTGCATCATCCTCTTACATTTTATGACCCACACTAAATGGAGTATATCTAGGAAAGGGAACTCAAAATAAATTTATACGTCACGTTAAAACACTAAATTACAGTGTGGTGTTTAGACTTTAGACTAGTAAAGGTTTTTCACATTTATAGTCCACTTTATCACTTTATCATGCCCACAGCTGAATATTTTTATTTCTGTCTTCACATCCCAAACTAAATAACACAACTTTTTATTTACCTATGGTAAGCTGCCTCTCTTATGTTTATGAGGGAAAATGTTGTAGTTAGTTTGAAGTTTTTGGAGTATCTCGAGTAGTTCTCCAGGAAGCTGCAGTGCAGCAGGAGAAACCATGCAGGGAATAAAGATCATTGTCAAAATTGGTATTTTGGCTTTGTGGAAAGAGTAATGTTTGCCTCCCACAGGAAATCCTGATCTCTCTATGAGAGGAGAAGGAATTAATAAGTGCAGGAACAGATGGGCCGTCAGGGGACATTAAAGTCCGTTTAATGTTCAGTCCAACTGCTTCAGACGTTTGTGACCTCAAATACAGCTCCCCCACTAATGTCATAAGTTCAGAGTTGCAGCGCGTGTGAAAGGCACTATAGAGCCATCACAAAGAGCATCATGTTGGTAGTTAGATAAAGGTCATCCCATTGTCATTGTAATTATCTGTAATCTGGGGAATGGCCAGCCATTAAACCTGACAGTACATACACTTATGACAATAAACCTGCGTTCTATCACCCCGTGATCTTGGATGAGAAAGAGGATTTGTGCTAATACTAAGCAGAAGGCGCACAGTGACCACTGAACAGTATGTGTGTCCTTTCTGCTTTATTTGTTTGTATTTTGTTTTCAGAATTTATAACTGCCTGGGATTACTGATTATTTCCTACACACCCCATCGCTGCAGCACAATAATGTATCTTCTAATTGTTAGGATTTTTAGCCATGTGAAGCTCCAGAGATGACGTTGTCAGTCAAGACTGCCTATTGGGATGGATTGCTGCCATAAGCACCACCATAAGGTCGTGTTAGAAGTTGTTTGATAGAGTGCCATAACATTTGGAACAGATTCTCATGCCCAAAAGGGTAAATCCTAATGATTTAGGTGACTCCGCTTATTTTTCTAATAATGCCACTAGCGGCTCAAAGGTTTCACTTATT